CATGCATGAGGCCCTGGGTTCCATTCCTCAGCACCACATAAGCAGAAAAAGCCAGAAGTGGTGCTGTGGCTCAAGTGGTAGAGTGCTAGCCTTGAGCTGAAGAGCTGAGGGACATCACCCAGGCCCAGAGTTCAAGCCCCACAACCAACAAAAGAACAAAAAGTATTTGCTTGGAATGGGATATGTTATAAAGAATTAAAATTTCAGCTGGAGCCGGGCGCTGGTGGCTCACACCTGTAATCCTAGCTACTCAGGAGGCTGAGATCTGAAGATCACAATGCAAAGCCACTTGTAGCAGGAAAATCTTAACCACCAGTTAAGCCACTACTGTGGCTTAAAGGCACTAAAAAAGCTCAGGGACAGCACCTAAGTCCTGAGTTCAAGCCCTGTGACTGGCTAAGAAAAAAAAAAAAGAATCAAAATCTCACTCTATCCACACAATCTGCTTACCCTTTGAAGATAACTTACCAAGGAACTATTATCTTAAAAGATATGAAGAGTCTTAGTTTTGGGGTTAATTTTTAGGTTCTTACTGATTTTCTTCAGTGAGCCTCATCAAACAAAGGAAATATACAGGAAAACCCAAATATAGCACTAGTGGTGGTGAAGAGTCAGACTCTGAAGACCATAGAGAGTCCTAATGCACATATGATTCTTGGACTGGACAGCTCTGTCTGAGATTTCCAAGCTGAACCATACCAGTGTGAAGAAGGTGCCTTCTTGTTCTTGCTTTTGTGCGCAAGGTGTTGCTGCTGCCAGCTTGTTGTCTTTGTCACCTCTGAGCAGCTGTGGCTTTTCTAAAAACCATGCATGACCTAAGTTTTAATTCCATATCCTCAAAGGAAAGCAGCCCTGACCACTTCTCAGTTTCTGTTTGGACCTACTTCTCTAAATTACTTTTAAGGTTTGCATGTGTCCATGGGACCTTCATCTATTCTGCTCTTTCCCACCCTGCCGCCATCAACTGGTGGCTTTTTTTTTTCCTCTAATCCCAAGCCCCCTTTGCTTGCCTACCTATGTTCTATATTTGCAGATGGTGGTTTTCAAACTGTCTTGAAGCAATGACAGACTTAGGGGCTTCAAGTACTGGCTTTGATTAAGTAGTAAAGATGAGTCAATTCAGAAGAATAAGCTTTTCAAGTATTGGCTCATATTACATCCTTTAAAGAAAACTACGTCTGGATATAGATTCTCTCAAATTTTAAAAGGAGCTAATTTTAAAATAGGAGTACACCAACAACTATGGTTTTCCTCATGTGTTCATTTGAGAAGAATTACTCATGAAAGTACAAACAAGAAAATTAATGAATTCTGTTGTTTGTAGTCCTTTCACCAAAACTCAATTTAAAAGCCCAATTTCTAGTTCTATTACAGACCATGCTTCTAAAACTTGGTTATCATGCTAGTAGCAGGCTTTCCAGTGACTCAGGGCTTGTACCATTAGACACTGTAAAGGTTTGACTTAAATTAGCAAACAACCCTTTGTGTTTGCTATGGTAAGTGTGTGAAAAAAATACAAAACACTTTACTAATTTGCCAATTAGTTCTTCCTTGTTGAGATAATCATTCAGTTCTTAACCTGAGTTACACAAAATCCCTCTCATTTTTGCAATTCAGTATTGATTTTTTTTCTTATTTTTTTTTGCCATGGGCAAATGTTGCTTTACAAAGAATAACATTAAGTGCCCAAAGTTTTAACTGTAACATTTAGCTGAATTTGATAAAACACAGAGTCTGACTAATGAAATGATCCTTATGTTTTCTTTTCTATTATAAACTACTAGAATTTAAAGGTAGTGTTGATTGGAAGTCCTTAGAGAGTTGGAACAGTAGAAAGTAAAGGAGGAATCTAATTTGGCTATTGGAGGCGCAGTGCCTTTGGGGCTCTAATTATACAGCCTACTAGATACAATGTTAACTTGCACCAGAATCCATTTGTTTCTGAATTCAGAAATGATTCTTAACATCTACTATTCTAAGAGAGACATGTTTTAGAACTGCCATCTAGAACAGTTAATACCCTGTCTTTGTTTTAGAACATGTCTTTGTCTTAGCGCTTTAATGCTGTCCTTTCTTACACTGGTGTTCCTTCCTGTCTTTTTTTCTTCCTCTGTCCCTTTCCCTCTTTTCTTTTTCTTCTGCCTTCCTTCTTTCTATCTCCCAGATCTGAAAGATTTTCAGAACAATAAACATAGATACTTGCTAGCCTCTGAGAATCAACGTCCTGGCAATTTTTCCACAGCATCCATGGGGTCCCTTACTTCATCTCCATCTTCCTGCTCACTCAATAGTCAGGTGGGCTTAACGTCTGTGAGCAGCATTCAGGAGCGGATCATGTCTACACCGGGAGGAGAGGAAGCCATTGAGCGTCTAAAAGTAAGTAATCATTCATGTTAATACAAGGTGGCTCTGCAAGGCAGAGTTGGGACTAAAAATCAACGAGGTTTTGGCTTAGCTTGTGGAGAACACTTTAACTCCTTCTAAGCTTTCTGCTTTGTAAGTTAACTTCTTTTCACCAGACTATTTGGGTCTGAGCTGGCCAGAGATGAGAGGGTCATAGGTTGGCCATGCAAAGTACTTGATGGGTTAGCACATACATTGATTTTAGAGTAATTTATAAATATAAATTGTGTACTTAAGAGATTTTTTATTTTATTTTTTTGTCAGTCCTAGGGCTTGAACTCAGGGCCTGGGTGCTGTCCATGAGCTTTTTTGCTCAAGGCTAGCACTGTACCACTTAAGCCACAATGCCACTTCTGGCTTTTTCTGAGGAGTTAATTGGAGCTGAGAGTCTCACAGACTTTCCTGCCCAGTCTGGCTTTGAACCACGATCCTCAGATCTTAGCTTTCTGAGTAACTAGGATTATAGGCATGAGCTACCGGCACCAAGCTTGAGATTTCATTTTAAAAGCAATACCAGTAAGGAAACACTTTGGTTTCATTTGAAAATGGAATTTTGTAGAGAGCCATTTTTCTGTTAGTAAAATTAATATATAGTTCAAAGCAAGTTGGAACATTTGAGTAGTCTGCACCAGGTTTACTCCAGTATGTGAAATGATATCTTCTAGAAGTTCACAGAAAGCCTTGACACTGTCTCGATTAGGGTTGAGGAAGGGTTTTTTTTCTGTGCTGATACACCTGGAGCCTCAGAGCCAGTGGGGCTGCCTGTTGCAGCTACCAGCCTGTGGCATTTCACTTTGCTGCCCAGGTTTCTCCCAGCCTCTTGCTACTGTATCAGGTTGACTTGCCTTTTCCATGAATGAGTCAGAAGAAGCAAAGCCTTCCAGTACACAGCTTCTTCCTTGCTCCGTGTCTGCAGTAAGAGTAGACACCAAGGGTAGTGTTACCTAGGAGCTGAGATAAGCTGCCCAGGATCCTGCCAACCATTGGATAGCATCGGGGACATCAAACATTTTTCTTCTATTTGTCGCCCCCAGGAAAGCTAGCTTGATCCAAACCTTTCAGTTTTTTTGTTTGAGAGTGCCAGGCCAAGGGAGAGGAGGATTTTTTTTTTTTTTAAGATGTGGAAAGTGCCTGGTATTAGTGGCTCACCCCTAGTAATTATAGTACTCAGGAGGCTAAGATCTAAGGATTATGGTTCAAAGCCAGCCAGGCAAAAAACCAGGCAGAGCTGTGACTCAAGTGGTAGAGCACCAGCCTTGAGCAAAAAGTTAAAGCACAGTGCCCAAACCCTAATTTCAAGCTCCCATCCTGTCAACAGAAGAAAAAAGAAGTGAGAAGTTAGGCTGGGGATATGACTCAAGTAGCAGAACATCTGTTTGGCAACCAAGAGGCTTTGAGTTGAGACCCTGGTGTTGCAGGGGAGATTTTTGCAGCCATGCTTCCAGACAAGTGCTTGTTTCACCTTTGCCCTCTGTCCCTGGCCTTGCTGCTTACTCAAGGGTGATGGAGAATACTGACTAGTGGTTCAAAGGCTTGGTTTCAATATGTCAGGTATTTTCACTTTGGGTTTTATGGGAAGACTGTTCTTCCTATAGAATTCTTCTGCCTTTTCTTGATTAAATCCCCTTAGCATTTTATTTGTACTAGGAAAATAAAACACTAAAATCTGATGAAGTAGTTTTAAGAGGAGGAAGCGGGATATGGAGGAAAGTAAGTGATGGGGGCGGGGTTTGATTAGGATAGATTATTCACATGTGAGGAAATACCACAACAAAACCCTTACCCTTTGTACAATTAAAGTTTGCTAATAAAAGTGTCTAACTTAAAAAAAAAAAGATGCTTCAGAAACAAACCAAGTGATTTTGTTTCTTCCTTTAAAAAAAATAAATAGCTGAGAGCTGGTGGCTCACACCTATAATACTAAGATCTGAGGATCGCTGTTCAAAGCCAGCCCCAGCAGAAAAGTCCGTGAGAGTCTTATCTCCACTAAACCACGTGAGAGTCTTATCTCCACTAAACCACGAGAAAACCAGAAATGGCTCGCCTTGAGCTGAAGAGCTAAGGGGCAGCGCCCAGGCCCAGAGATCAAACCCTCAGCCAACTAAATAAATATATAAATAAATGAATAAATGAATGAATGTAAGTGAAGTTCTGAAAAGCCTGGCAAAAGGAGAGGGGATGAGAAATCTTTCCATTTAAGATTACATGCTGCAAGGTAACTTCTGCTGTTGGTGAAGTTGACTCTGAAGTTTTACTAAAGCCCTTATTGGAGCCAAGTTTATTCATGATTTTTCTCACATATAAGCATCATTGGCCACACTGTGCAAGACTCTGTTCAGAGCTAGTTTGAGAAATAGAGGGCTATATGGAAAGGAGAAGTAAAACCTCCCACCTCTAGAGGTTTAATATAAAATGTTCTTTTTCTTTGGGGATTTCAAATCTTATTTGTTTTATTAAGCCTTAGTACACAAATGTGATTACTCCTTCTTTTACCATTTATTTTGTAATCAAGGAGAATTTTCTCACTAACTGCCAAGAGGAGTAAACTGAAAATAATATTAGATGTTAAGCATCAAGACATTAACTTCCAAATAATTTCTTTTTTTTGTCGGTTGTGGGGCTTGAACTCTGGGCCTGGGCGCTGTCCCTCAGCTCTTCAGCTCAAGGCTAGTGCTCTACCACTCAAGCCACAGAGCCACTTCTGGTTTTCTGGTGGTTTATTGGAGATAGGAGTCTCACGGTCTCTCCTGCCCGGGCTGGCTTTGAACCGAGATCCTCAGATCCTCAGATCTCAGCCTCCTGAGTAGCTAGGATTACAGGTGTGAGCCACCAGTGCCCGGCACTTCCAAATAATTTCTAACGATTAATGCTGCCATCATTTAGGGAGTCCCTTGCCCCCTTTTCTCCCATTAAAGCAAAACTCTGTTAATCAGCAAATAAATTTCTGTGCTTATATTTTTCTTTAAGCCAACATAATGAAATTCTGTATTTCCTCTAGCTTTATTCTGAAGACAGAGAATGGTTTTTTTAGTTTTGTGTTCATTGTAACAGTGATTCACTGAAGCATAAGTACTTAGCCCTTTTATTTTTGTGAATGGGGAGAATTCCTTGCAGGCATTTTAATGATGCAGGCATAAACATCACGCATCCAGAGTGCAGGGCAGAGGTTTTGTGATAGAAGCTGCTGAGACTGGGCTGTACCAGAGAAAATATTGTAATGGAAAACAGCAAGAGTGGAGGTTGATTTCTTTTCCTCACATTTTGTTTCCATTGCTTCTTTATACTTCAAAAAAGATCAGTTGTCAGTATACTGCTGTTCTGGGGGGAGCTGCTGTTGCTGCTTCTTCATTCACTGAAGAGCCTATTTCCATATGCAAGACAAACAGCTTGATCCTCTACAAACCTAGCTGGCAAAAGAGAGTGATACATAATTGCTTCTGTTTTAAGTCACAACTCACACTGAGTTGTAGCTATTGTGTCCTTGATTTGGTTTCTTGTTCAATGAGGTTTTAAACTTGTAGCTGTCGCCACAGTGCGCTGGCTCTAGGGTTGATAGTCTGGCGTCAGTCAGTACTATGAGTGCCACTCTAAGGCTTAGCCTATAAATATCCACACATATCCATCTCAGAAGCAGAGGTCAGGGCAGATGCTGTGCTGAGCAGTCAGAGGGCTTCATACTTGGAACTTACTTTATAAAGCATGCTGTGTTCCGTACAGCAAAACCTTGGCTATCCGATGGCTTCAAGGAATGTTCCATGTAGTAAGTGCTTAATCTTTTTGAGTATCAAAACTTCAAATGCAATTTTTTCATGGAAGGATTTCTGATTTGTCCTTTTGACTTATGTCCTGAACCTTCAGGATTAAATTGTTATAGTTGTTTAAATATAATTTATTAACCAGTGCTATGTGCTTGCCTTGCATGCTGGAGGCCCTGGTTTGATTCCTCAGCACTATATAAGCAGAAAAAAGCCAGAAGTGGTACTGTGGCTCAAGTGGTAGAGTGCTAGTCTTGCTGAAGAGCTGAAGGACAGCCCCCATGACTGACAAAAAAAAAAATGTTATTGTGAGACAAAAAAATGAATGGAGGGGTTGGGAAGGTGGCTCATTGGTAGAGCGCTTGTCTTGCATGCTCGAGGCCCTGGGTTCGATTCCTCAGCACCACATAAGCAAAAAGAAAAAAACCGGAAGTGGCGCTGTGGCTCAAGTGGAAGAGTGCTTGCCTTGAGCTGAAGAGCTGAGGGACAGTGCCCAGGCCCAGAGTTCAGGCCCCACGACCGGACCCAAAAAAAAAAAAAATGAATGGATAGCTTTGGGGAACTTAAATCTGTTATAGATGTGTTTGTCAGAAAAAAAATCCCACATTTTGGAGTATTAATATTACCCTTCTTCCACTTGCATGTACACACAGATGTACTAACATTCAAGTGTTTTTATTAGGATTTGGAGGAATTATATTGTTTGGGGCTGACTAATTTTAGCCCCAGTCTTTATGATCCTTACCTTACATATTAGAGAAGCAAAAGACTTAACATAAATTATGCTTTATATCCTTAAAAGGACAATCTGCTTCTTCCCTTCTTAGATATTGCATGCTAAATTAAATGACTCTGCCACTTTAAATGTGTTCTTCCATCCTTAGGAATCAGAGAAGATCATTGCTGAGTTGAATGAAACCTGGGAAGAGAAACTTCGTAAAACAGAAGCCATCAGAATGGAGAGGTCAGGAGGTTAAAATATGGAAATGTTTTAAAGTTTTCTAGAGAATTTGGCTCACGGGCTGGGAAGGTGGCTCAGTGGTAGAGCTTTTGCCTTGCATGCCTGAGGCCCTGGGTTCGATTCCCCAGCACCACATAAGCAAAAAGAAAAAAAGCCGGAAGTGGCGCTGTGGCTCAAGTGGTAGAGCGCTAGCCTTGAGCTGAAGAGCTGAGGGACAGCGCCCAGGCCCAGAGTTCAGGCCCCACGACTGGAGGGGGGGAAAAAAAGGAGAATTTGGCTCACTTTTATAGTTTAAAAAAGATGAACTAGAAGTTAAAAACAACTGTTCCTAAAGCACACACACACACTCATACAATACACATAGTCACACACAAAAATCACTCCTGCTAGTGACTTGTGACCAGTCATTCACACTTTGAAGTGAAATCTGTATATTTAAAGGCTCTAGACAGTCACTTGCTTAATAGTTAACATACTGCCTCTTACTGAAGGTCCATAAAAGCAGAACATCTTGAGAAAGCAAGCTCTTCATTTGTAAAAAGTAGACTAACATTGACAGTGACCCAAACCTAAAAGCTGTTCTGACTACTGTCTTACAGAGTTACCTTTTCTACACTTATTTGGTAAGAGGTATAGTTATGGATCCATTTTCAGCTCTACTCCCTAGTTATAATCTAAAAATGACACTTTTTTCCATGTACAATTTATCAAAATTTGACAAATGCATATAGTGAGGACATCATCACTTTAGTGAAGATCTAGAGCATTTCCATTTTTCTGGAAAGTTCTCCATGGCAATTTATGATTCTCTCCAAGGCACTGACTTGATTTCTCTTTTTGTTGTTTTACTGTTTTTTTTCTTTTTTTAAATTTTATTTTATTTTATTTGTGAACATACTGTACAGAGGGTTACAATTACATGGGCAGGATAATGCGTACATTTCTTACCAAGCATTGCAGCCTCCTCCTTTGTTTCCCCTTCACATCCCTCCCAGCCTCTCCCCTCCCCCCCCCCCGTTTTACTGTTCTTAAACTACATAAAGATTGCTTCAGTACACAAATATTCTTCTATTTGATTTCTTAGTCTATGTGCAACATTTTTGGAATTAATTCATGTTGTTTTGTGTAGCAATAATATAGTGCTTTTTTAATTTCTGAGGATAATTTTGTTGTTTGAATAATATATCACCATTTGTCCATTAATCTGTTTATGGGTATGTGTGTCAGTGGTTTTAAAATATGCTCCTTTGTGTGAGTGTATGAGTGTTTGTGCACTGGGATTGGATGATTGCATGCTGTCTCTTAGCTCTAAAAATGATAGTTTTGTTATTGGAATCAATACGCAGTTAAAAAGTATTAGTACTGGGTTTGGAAGTGTGTCTCCGTGGCTAGAGAGCTAGCCACTGAGCAAGAACATCAGCTACCGGGTTCTAGTTCTGGTCTTGCATTGTCCCCTACCTCCCCCCGCCCCCCCAAAAAAGGCAGGACTAAGTTCTAATGTATTGCTGGACTAAGAATAAATGGAAGAGTTTAAAAAGTTTATTTTCATGTTTTAAACTAGAATTACTGAACAGAAATGATGGTAGACATAGAAACACAACATTTGAGAAAATCATATTTACAGATTAATACTCCATTTACTCAAGTTATGTTCCCCTTTTTGGGGTGTGCGCATGGGTGGACCTGGGATTGATTCCATGGCTTCACCAATGCTGAATGAGTTTGTTTGTTTTGCCAGCCTGGTGCTTGAACTCAGGGCCTAGGCGCTGTCCCTGAGCTTCTTTTGCTCAAAGCTAGCACTCTACCACTTGAGCCACAGTGTCACTTCTGGCTTTTTCTGGTTATGTGGTGCTGAGGAATCGAACCCAGGGCCTCATACCTGCAAGGCCAGCAAGCACTGTACCACTGAACCACCTTCCCAGCCCCTGAATGGGTTTTCTACTGCTGAACTACACCCATAGCTTGAGAGAAATTTCTTATCAGAGTGATTATACAGGAACATACTCTGTTTTGAATATGCTGTTTCTGTTAATAAAATAATGATTTCTCATTAATTGTAAGCACCCATTGCACATTTGCATTACCAGCTCTATCCATTAAAAGTTCACACTAGATAGAACTATTTGACATGTAGGTGTTGGTACTCTATATACTTGTTTTATTTTATGTCAATTTCCTTCAGAGAAGCTTTGTTGGCTGAGATGGGAGTTGCCATTCGGGAAGATGGAGGAACACTGGGAGTTTTCTCACCTAAAAAGGTAAGAAACCATGTTGTGAAACTCAGTCAGAAACCTTGTGTGTAAGCTCGTGTGCACACACACACACACTCGGATGATGGATCATTTTCACAGTTTAGTAGTTTTTCCTTGGAGGAAGGAAGATCGAGGGAGAATGACAGGATTTGTCTGATGAGGGCATGACAATAAAACCCTCTTGTACAACTAATAGATGCTAATACGGAACTTGCATTTATTCAGATATATTGCTTAATGACCATAGAGACCTTACAGGGCTCTTTTGTTTGTTTTTTTGTTTCGTGTGTGTGTGTGTGTGTGTCTGTCTGTCTGTATGTCTGTGTGTCTGTGTGTGCCAGTCCTGAGTGCTGTCCCTGTGCTTTTTTTGCTCAAGGCTAACACTCTGTCACTAGAGCCATATCTCTACTTCCAGCTTTTTTAGTGCTTAATTGGAATTAAGAGTCTTAAGAACTTTTTTTTTCCTGGGTTGGCTTCAAACTTTGATCCTCAACTAACACTCAGTTGTAGTTACAGTTTTGATAAAATTAGATTATGTCTTTGTGTGTTAAAACCTGGGTAAGGGGCTGGGAAGGTGGCTCAGTGGTAGAGTGCTTGCCTCACACGCATGAGGCCCTGGGTTCGATTCCTCAGCACCACATAAGCAGAAAAAGCCAGAAGTGGTAGAGTGGTAGAGTGCTAGCCTTGAGCTGAAGAGCTGAGGGACAGCGCCCAGGCCCAAAGATCAGACCCCATGACTGACAAAACACAAAACAAAAACTGGGAAAGCCAAGCGCTGGTTGCTTACCCCTATAATCCTAGCTACTCAGGAGGCTGAGATCTGAGGATCGTGGTTCGAAGCCAGCCTGGGCAGAAAAGTCCATGAGACTCATCACACTAACCAAACACCAGAAAACTGGAAGATGTGCTGTGGCTCAAAGGATACTAGCCTTGAGCAAGGAGCTAAGAGCTCAGGGACAGTGCGCAGGCCCTGAGTTCAAGCCCCACAACTGACAGAAGGAAAAAACAAAATTGGGAGAAGGGATGGGGATATAAATCAGTGGTAGAGTATTTGCTTATGTGCAAGGTCCTGGGTTCAATCCCCATTGCAACCAAAAAATAAATAAAGTTAAATATAAAATGAGGAAAGTTTGGGCTGGGAAGGTGGCTTAGTGGTAGAGCACTTGCCTTGCATGCATGAGGCCCTGGGTTCGATTCCCCAGCACCATATAAGCAAAAAAAAAAAAAAAAAGCCGGAAGTGGCACTGTAGCTCAAGTGGTAGAGCAATAATAGCCTTGAGCTGAAGAACTGAGGGACAGCGCCCAGGCCCAGAGTTTAGGCCCCATAACCGGACCCCCCCAAAAAAGAGGAAAGTTTTTGTAATAATTTGTAAAACTACTACGGTATTTACTATGACTGACAACAAAAATTAACTTGAACAACTACTATATGAAAAGCAGAAGACCTGTTATAGTGGCTCATATCTGTAATCCCAGCTACTTGGGAGGCAGAGATCCAGAGGATCAAAATTCAAAGGCCAGCCAAAGGAAAAAGTTAAGCTAGATCCTGCCAACAAGCCAGATGTGGTGGTATGTACCTGTGATCCCAGCTGTGAGGAAGGGTATAAGTAGGAGGCTAGCAATCTGAGGCCAGCCCAGGACAAAAAAAACAGTAGACCCTATGTGAAAATAACTTAAGCAAAAAAGGGCTGAAGGCATGACTCAGGTAGAAAATTACCCACCTAGTAAGCTCAGGGCCCTGAGTTCAAATTCCAATGCCTTCAAAGAACAAGAAGGAGGAGAAGGAAAAAGGACAAAGAAGAAGGATGGAGAAGGGGAAAATAGGAAGAGGAGGAGGAAGAAGAAAGAGGAGAGGAAGAGGAAAGAAGAAAACATTCTAAACTGGAGTCTTTGCTTTTATAGCTTTGTCTGCTTTTATTTGCCCATTTTCCTTTAAGGTCCTGCTCAGGAAAGGGAGACACACTATTGACCACATCTAACTCCATTTTAAAACCTGTTTTCCTAGGCCCCTGAAGGGACTTGAAAGATTGATGAAAGGACTTTGACTTACCAAACTAACGGAATTCTTTAACTACAAAGTTGAATGCCGGTGAAGATGTCGTGGTTTTACTAATTTCTGTTTCATCATCTCCTCTGATTCATCTTTCATTTTCTCACATTTACTAGTACTGTCTTGAATCGATTTTGGCCCCAAGATCATGTGATTTCTTTTTGCATTTCACTGGGGTCTTTTCCCCAAAGAAGGTTGTTTTTTAAAATATTTTTAAAAAACATTAGAGTTAGATAAAGAATATTTTCAACATATTTACGTTGTTGAATATCAATTTAATTTTTTTTCTTCAAGGGAGTAATAAACTAAAAACAAAACTGGCTGTGAAAGAATTAATGCAAGTTTTGTAAGGAAATGGTGTAGGGGGTTATATAATGAATCTAAACGATTTATAAACCTGAAAATTCAAGAATCTTTATGAATTTTTCATTTTTTCAGGCATCTACAAACCTATCAGAAAATCAGTCTGTTTTAGCTTTTCTTTATGAATGCACAAATACCTTATCTAGAACCAGCTCTTGTTCTTTATCCCAGAGTTCATGTTTTTAAACAGGATGGATTGGTACAGTTCAGGGAGGCCTAAAGAGAGTGTTTTCTCTTACAGAACTGCAAACAGTAATGAAAGTCCCTGTGTGGGGGTTCTGAGAAGCCTGGCTTCCTGAGAGCTCCCCTTCTTACCACTCTTCCTGATACTTTGGTCCAAATTAATAGATAATCTGTAACCTTTTTCAGACCCCACATCTTGTGAACCTTAATGAAGACCCACTAATGTCCGAATGCCTGCTTTATTACATCAAAGATGGAATTACAAGGTATATTTTTGTTCTGGTGTGGTACAATGTTTTCTTTTCTCTTACCTAGTTAATAACTAAAGGGAAGTTTGTTGTTTTTTTAAAAAAATGATTTACTGTTTCTCATGTCTGAAGTAGTTACAAATTATTATTTTACTCATTCTAAATTTTGTAAATAGAACCAGTTAACACTCAATTTTTCTCTAGAAGACCCTAAATAAGATTTTTTCCTTTTGATAGCATATGTGAGGTCATTAGGGATTTAACTCATGCATGTCTTTTTGTTATGCTGTATGACTTACATCAGTGTACCATTCTCTTTGGTTCTTACTCTCATGCAGAGAGGTTGATCACATACAAGAATAGAATTTGTAGTCCAAAGCTTCTGATACAAAAAGCCGATACCTTTTTTTGCACATACCAAAGGGTATTCTTTGGGAGAAAGAGGCTCATTGTTTGTAAGTGCTTTTTGTGTCTGAATTTCCCTGGGAAACACTTTTATTTTGTGTTCAGGGTTGGCCAAGCAGATGCTGAGCGGCGCCAGGACATAGTGCTGAGTGGGGCCCACATTAAAGAAGAGCATTGTATCTTCCGGAGTGAGAGAAACAACACTGGTGAAGGTGAGAGTTCCTGCTTTGAGCTCCTCGGGCAACTTTTTCATTTTGTACTATGAGAAACTCTTAATACTTGGTATCCCTGTCTGTTAATGGTATTTTCTTTTACAACATAATACTGAAAAACCTGGGCTGCTTATAAATGCAGAGAGACCAACATCACCACTTTACATGAAAATAGCATGGACAAAGGGAGCCTTTTGTTACTGCCAGGAACTGAGCAGGACATACGCTCATTAGGATTGGTTTTGAATGCTAATTATTTAGTAGAAAAGTAAGAGAAGAATTTTCTGGATAATAGATTTTAAAGAACCTCAAGTCTTAACTCAAGAAAATGTAGTCATATTGTCATATAATTAATGAAAGAGCAACAATCTAATAGTATTTGGAGTTTAGTCACCAACTCCTTCTGTATATACTTTTTCCTTAGCCAAAATATTAACTTTTAATCTTTAGCTTTTGGGTATTATTTGTCTATCCCATACTTAAGATTTATGATGATTTTCAGGTCTGCTGACTGAACTATTAGGTGGTGTTGAAACTAATATTTTGTCTTCTTCTGAAGTTTGTCTGATTAATTCAATATTTCTATCTTAGCCATACCCTCAAGTAGTCTCTTACACGGATCCTAGTTCTGGTAAGATGAAAAGAACTGCCTTAGAGACATTCCAACCACTTGGTTGATTGGCAGGAGCAGTCTCTTCTATTTACCATGCACCCTGACAGTCAGCTGCTTTCAATTATGTGATTCCATTGGTTTGTGGAGATGACATTAGTTTGTGTTCCTCCTAGTTATCGTGACTCTAGAGCCCTGTGAGCGCTCAGAAACCTATGTGAATGGCAAGAGGGTGGCCCAGCCTGTCCAGCTGCGCTCAGGTGAGACTGGGAGACAGCTGAAATTGTTAGCAGGGTGTATACATGAAAAACTCTAACCTTTAACTCTTTGTGTAAAGGCCAATATGATAGCATTAGCATTATTCTTCTTGTACACCTTGAAACCTGTCTTTCTGTACTATGAGAATGAAGTCATGTTTCTTTATTGGAGATGATATCTTGCTCTGTAGCCATAGTTGTGATAGGCTAGGCTTCAACTCGCTGTCTTCCTGCCTCAGCCTCCAAGTATTGGGATACCAGGCATGTGTTACCATACCTGTAAGAGTGAGGTTACTGTATTAGACCCTATGCAGTTAAAATATGATTTCCTAGCCAAGTGCCAGTGGCCTGTAATCTAAGCTACTCAAGAGGCTGAGCCTTGGAAGATCTCAGATCAAAAGCAGCCTACACAGAAAGTTCGCTAGACTTTATCACCCATTAGCCAGCAAAATGCCAGCTGGAGGCATGACTTCAGTGGTATAGTACCTGTCTAATATATAAGATCCCCCAACTTCAAACACCCTCTTCCCCCCGCCCCCCCCCACTCTTCTCCAATAAAAAGATTTTGAAGGCCGGGCGCTGGTGGCTCACACCTGTAATCCTAGCTACTCAGGAAGCTGAGATCTGAGGATCATGGTTTGATACCAGCCTGGGCAGGAAAGTATGTCAGACTTTTTTTTTTTTTTTGGTTGGTTGTGAGGAACTTAACTCTAGGCCTGAACTCTGTCCCTCAACTCTTCGGCTCAAGGCTAGTGCTCTACCACTTGAGCCACAGCCCACTTTCAGATTTTTCTGCTTATGTAGTGCTGAGGAATCGAACCCAAGGCCTCGAGCATGCAAGGCTAGCACTCTACCACTGAGCCACTTTCCCAGCCCATCAGACTCTTATCTCCAATTAACCACCAGAAAACTGGAAGTGGCACTGTGGCTCAGAGTGATAGAGTGCTAGCCTAGAGTGCTAGCATTCAGGCCCTGAGCTCAAGCCCCTGCTGATGACCAAAAACAAAAACAAACAAAAAAAAAGATTTTGAGGGAAAAATGGGGGGAGAGCAAGAGAAGGTATGACATTGTCTAAAAAGGAATGCACTCTTTATCTGACTTATGTAACTAACCCCTCTGTACATCACTTTTATAATAACAACAGAAAAAAAAAAGATTTCTTAGAGCAAGTGTGGTAGCTCAGTGGTAAAACACTTGTTTGGTTTGTACAAGGCTTTATATTTGATCCCCCCAAAAAAGATTGTGTGCGTGTGTGCATGCATGTGTGTGTGTGTGGGGGGGAACTGAAGCCATCCCTAGCCTTTTTTTTTTTCTTTTGCAGTACCAGAAATTGAACTCAGGGCCTTGTGCTCATCAGGCAGGTGCTCAAGAGCTAAATCCCCAGCCCTTTTCCTGTTGGTTATTTTCACAGTAGGTTCTTGCTATATGCCCTGGGCCCCTACTGTGCTTTCCCCTGGCCTTGAGGATGCTCGGTTTTCATCCCTGTGCCACTGTGCTGCCCTGCTAGTTGGGATAACAGGAGTGTGCCATTGTGCCCAGCTTTTTATTATTGGTAAGATGATGTCTTGAAGCTTTTTGCCCAGGTGGGCGTTGAATTGCTAGTCTATTGATCTGAGTCTTCTGAGTAGCTAGGTTTACCACCATAAACCACTGCAATAGCTTATATATCTGTTTTTGAGATAGGGTCTCACTAGCATTGCTTAGTTGGCTTTGAACTCGCCATTCTCCTGCCTCTACCTCCTGAGTAGCTGGAGTCACAAGTGTGCACTTACAAAGGGAAAGAGAAGAAAAAAGTTTCTTTAAAAAACATAAAAATAAGCCGGGCACCCGTGGTTCACGCCTGTAATCCTAGCTACTCAGGAGGCTGAGATCTGAGGATCACGGTTCAAAGCCAGCCTGGACAGGAAAGTCTGTGAGACTCTTATCTCCAATAAAGTACTAGAAAACCAGAAGTGGCCCTGTGGCTCAAGTGGTAGAGTGCTCGCCTTGAGCTGAAGAGCTGAGGGATAGCACCCAAGCACGGCCAACCAAAAAAAAAAACATAAAAATAATCAATAAATCCTGCTTATGTTTCTTTCTAGGAAACCGGATTATCATGGGTAAAAACCATGTGTTTCGTTTTAACCACCCGGAGCAAGCACGGGCTGAGCGGGAGAAGACTCCCTCTGCTGAGACCCCCTCAGAACCTGTGGACTGGACGTTCGCTCAGAGAGAGCTTCTAGAAAAGCAAGGAATTGATATGAAACAGGAGATGGAAAAAAGGTAATGCACAGTAATTAGGCTGAAAACTGAAAACATGACTTAACAACAACAAAATTAGCATTCATGAGATGGCTCACTGTTGCACAATTTACAGCTTCTTCTTTCTTGTGTGTTGTTTTGGTTCGTTTTCACGTGTAGGCTACAGGAAATGGAGATCCTATACAAAAAGGAGAAGGAAGAAGCGGATCTTCTTTTGGAGCAGCAGAGGCTGGTAGGATTCTGTCCTGAACCTGCTCCCTATTAGGAAAGGGCAGTTGCTCCCACACCCTCCCTCCCTGTTCACGGATGAGCTCTGCAGGCTCGCATTTGTAGCTTGCACTGTTCTTTCATTTCCTCAAAGGAGGGAGGACTAACTTCTGTCTCCTAGCAGCCTTGGTTTGAAAAACTGTCCATAGAGGTACTATTTTGTGCCTTTTATTTCTTAGTTTTTTACTTCTATCACAACCAAGTGCTTTTTGAGGAAATAGGGCTATAGAGCTTTTATATACCTTTGCCTCTTCATAGTGATTTTTGAATTCACCTCAGTAGTGGTCCTTCTAATGATAATGAAGATTTGAATGGAATTTGGTGGGTGTTTGCCTTGGTTTTGTTTCTGATCACCTGATAGTACTAATTCTCTGCTCTTGGGCTGACTTGGGGATTGTTCTTGTGCTGGCAGATTTGGTGGGGTTTTTGTAAGATAAACTGTTTCTAAAAGTGTTGCTGCACAGTTGCATGTGTTAATCCTTTCTGTTCCCCTGCATGGAGTCTGAATTCTCAATGAGGCTCTCAGTGGCATGTGTGGTAACAGTGGAAACAGGGGCTGCGTTCCCATCTCATACAGGAGACCAGAACTGGGAAACTCCCGTCTCTGAGAAAGGATTTAGTGAGCAGCTGGAAAGTCAGTTGAGGGTCCAAGCAAATACTAATGTGTAGTAGCATTTTATAATGCTGCTTAATAAAAATGTGAGTTGCATAAATAAATAAATTGCTTTGTTAGTAGATTTTCCCTTAAAACCAATCACTTTTGGTTAACAAAGCCCTGATTATAAAAAGTTCCTCAGAATTCATTTGGTATTTAAGGAAGAAGTATAACTTTGGTCACTGTGGATGCAATATAGAAAGGAAGTTCTCATTTTTTAAGATTCATGGCTATCTTTTAAGATAAAAGGATATTAGGGAGAAAGCTTGAATTCTGGCTTCTTTTGGGATAAAATATAGAGTGTAAACTTGCACAGCCATGCACTGGAGAAGAAAGGGACAGTTGCACAATGGACCATGAAAGCCAAGAACTGAAAGAGCAGAAGCAGCCTTTCCCAGGCAACTCAGGGCTCAGGCTTGGCAGTGGGTTAAGCCAGTTCACTTGTTCTCTTGGACATTATATTAAAGCTCCCTCCCCCCAAACTATGGATTATTAGGCCAAATCAAGTGTTTGAGTCAAGGTAATGTCAGCGTTACAGATAGAATCATCCTAGAGGCTCACTTGGCATTACTTTCAATGAAAACGAAGATTTAACTACCATGTGATTAGGGCTTGACAGATTTGTTGCACATAAAGGGACCTTTTATCTTAATGATGTAGTATGATCTAATAACATGCCTCTGACGATCATGAGAGATCAAAGAGGACAGGTATAATTAGGCTGTGTTTATTATTAAGAGTAATGCCTTGTATTTATATGGCACTTTATAATTTACAAAGAGCCTAACATCCCTTTTATTTGTTCCTCAAGACAACTCACTTTGGTAGGTGTGTTATGTAAGCAAATGTGTAATATTATTTGTAGTTTACAGCTGAGTAAACTAAGGCTAAAAAATGTCCCCTTGACTTTCTTAAACCACCCGCCAGATCATGTACATGAGGCTTAAACTTGAGTCTTCGGACTTGTTTCAGCATTGTGTCCCTTGGAGCAGTGCTTCTCAACCACCTGGTAGTCTTCTTAAAATGTAGCTGCTGACTAAGGAGGCCTTGGGTGGGAGCTGTGGTTTTGCATTGCTGGCAAACTCCTAGGTGATGCCAATGCCACCAGTCCTGGGACCACGCTGGAGTAGACATGCAAGAATAATGTTGCCTGGTGCAACATTGATGATCACTCTATGCCCCCTAATAAAACATTGGCAGCCAGGTGGGCTGCCTGCATACCTCTAATCTCATCTACTTAGAAGGCAGAAGATTGAAAGTTCAGGCCATCCTGGGCAATTTAGAAAGACCTGTCTCAAAAAGAAATTCGTTTTTGAAGAGGGGCAAAAAAATTTTTGTTTCAATAAAAATAAAAGGGGGGGGTGGGTAGGTGGAAATGAAGATGTAGCTTAGTGGCTAAGTACTTGCCTAGCTACCTGAAGCCCTGAGTTTGATCTTTAGTACTGTCAAAAACAAACTAAAATAAAGTATATTTTTAAGAGAATGCAATGTCTTTGAGACATACTTAATTTCAGGGAACATACATTATGTGTACACAATCATGTTCTGGTTATTTGTTCTCTATACCTGAAAGCAAATTAGAATTTCAGAAATAGCTCCTTGCTTTCCTCCCAAAAGTTTAGCATCGGCTGGGCATTGGTGGCTTATGCCTGTAATCCTATCTACTTATGAGTCTGAGATCTGAGGATGTTGGTTCGAAGTCAGCCCAGGCAGGAAAGTCTGTGAGACTCTTTATCTCTAGTGAACTACTCAGAAAAAGCCAGAAGTGCCAGGCACCAGTGGCTCACGCCTGTAATCCTAGTTATTCAGGAGGCTGACATCTGAGGATCAAAGTTCATAGCCAGCCGGGGCAGGAAAGTCTGTGAGATTCCTATCCCCAATTAACCACCAGAAAACTGGAAGTGGCGCTGTGGCTCAAGTGGTAGAATGCTCGCCTTGAGCTGAAGAGCTCAGGGACAGTGTCCCAACCCAGAGTTCAAGCCCCATAACCAACAAAAGAAAAAGGCAGAAGTGGCACTGTGGCCCAAGTGGTAGAATGCTAGCCTTGATTATAAAGAGGCTGAGAAACAGCGCCCAGTCCTGGCCAAATACAAAAACAAAACCTTTACCATCTGTTCTACTTAGATTTTTTTTTTTTAACCTTAGAGGAACTGATTTCTTCTTCTTCTTTTTTTGTTTTTGGGTCCGGTTGTGGGGCCTGAACTCTGGGCCTGGGCGCTGTCCCTCAGCTCTTCAGCTCAAGGCTAGCGCTCTGCCACTTGAGCCACAGCGCCACTTCTGGCTTTTTTCTTTTTGCTTATGTGGTGCTGAGGAATCGAACCCAGGGCCTCAGGCATGCAAGGCAAGCACTCTACCACTGAGCCACCTTCCCAACCCCCTGATTTCTTCTTTAGAAAGAATTTTGTGAGTAATAGTACTAAATGATAAATGATAAATAAACAGTACTAAATGATAAACCCTGTTGCTGTGACTCAAAGTGTTAGAGCCTTGAGCTGAAGAGCTCAGGGACAGCACCCAAGCCCAGAGTTCAAGCCCACAACCGACCAAAAAAAAAAAAAAAAAAGTTGAATTCAGGCTCCTGAGTTTTCTGTGGTGATATTCTCCAAATGTGTCTCATTTCCTGTTATTTAGTGCTTCCATACAATCAGTGCAGTCTTATATACCATCGTATTGGGCTTGACTTTTCACTGGGGTTCCTTCTCCTGTCATGTGTACAAACTCCTTACAGAGTTTTTTCAGGAGGGCCATTTCGCATTGGTATTGAATGAAAACAAGTCAGTTAATGACATGTAAAGTGACCAAACCTGAGTAGGTTTATCCCTTATAATCAATAACTTTACATCTTTTTTCCCCTTAATTTTGTTTTGGTTGTGGGGCTTGAACTCAGGGCTTGGGCACTGTCCTTGGGCCTCTTTGTGCTCAAGGCTAGCTCTCTATCACTTGAGCCACAGTGCCACTTCCAATTTTTTTTTTTTA